GCTAATTGTCTGCTAGACTAAAAGAAAGGACATGTAGTTTAGTGTCTGCTAGACTAAAAGAAAGGACATGTAGTTTAGTGTCTGCTAGACTAAAATAAAGGACATTGTAGTTTAGTGTCTGCTAGACTAAAAGAAAGGACATTGTAGTTTAGTGTCTGCTAGACTAAAAGAAAGGACATGTAGTTTAGTGTCTGCTAGACTAAAATAAAGGACATTGTAGTTTAGTGTCTGCTAGACTAAAAGAAAGGACATTGTAGTTTAGTGTCTGCTGTGTCTGCTAGACTAAAACAAAGGACATTGTAGTTTGTGTCTGCTAGACTAAAAGAAAGGACATTGTAGTTTAGTGTCTGCTAGACTAAAATAAAGGACATTGTAGTTTGTGTCTGCTAGACTAAAACAAAGGACATTGTAGTTTGTGTCTGCTAGACTAAAAGAAAGGACATTGTAGTTTAGTGTCTGCTAGACTAAAATAAAGGACATTGTAGTTTGTGTCTGCTAGACTAAAACAAAGGACATTGTAGTTTGTGTCTGCTAGACTAAAAGAAAGGACATTGTAGTTTAGTGTCTGCTAGACTAAAATAAAGGACATTGTAGTTTGTGTCTGCTAGACTAAAAGAAAGGACATTGTAGTTTGTGTCTGCAAGACTAAAAGAAAGGACATTGTAGTTTTGTGGCGCTAGACTAAAACAAAGGACATTGTAGTTTTTGTCAGCTAGACTAAAAGGTAGGACAATGTAGTTTTGTGCCTGCTAGACTAAAAGAAAGGACAATGTAGCTTGGCGTGTGCTTATTGCTTCTAATGTGTTACGGGGACCATGTTTAAGAGATAGATCAATGGAGAAGTGACATACCATGATTGAAATTATCGAACAAAGAACTGTTGATCAACACATTCTCCCTTACCCCACTATATCCTCCCCCCACAATCTCCTCTATCGCCTCCTCTCTCAACCCTGCTCACTTGGCTCAACTACCTGCCTTGCCCCCCCTCCAGCCAGAACCACCCCCCTTCCCGCCGCGCCATCATTGTTGGAGATATTTATTCAGTTTCTGATGTTAATGGCAATAACACCAACATCACCACTGTGCACTGCGGTGGCCGGGTGTAACGATATTATGAATTACGGATTAATCTGCACCTCCCCCCCCCCC